GAAGTGGATTATAAAAATACAAACAAAGCACGGTCATGTTCCAGGAACAAGACGCTCGCCATGTAGGCGATCAAATTTTCATTTCTTCATCGCCCACTTGAAATTTTAATCCCATTGGCGAGTGGGCGAGTGGTGAACCACAACCCTGAATTAAATTTGAAAACGCATAGTGTTCATAATTACGATTTGGTTTTAGCACTACATACCCCTCTTCTAAGCTAGAAAATTGCATCACAAATCCTGGGTATGGATTGTATGGAAGCCTGGACATGCTGAACAGCTGCTTCATTAGAAGTCGAAACTTTGCCTGAACTTCTGTCTCTTCTAGGTACGCAAGGAAAACTCTCATCTGTTCTGTGTTAAAATCGGGGGTAGGAGGGTTATAGCCTCGAGGTCGTGCAATCTCCTAAAATCAAAATGACACCACCTCCACAGCTACACTTCAGGTTCAATGTACAAGTTCCGTTTCTTGTTCTCCATCCTTTACAAAACCAGGGGACATACTAAAGACCTGATATACTGACCTGATGGAAATTTTTATCAATGTGGAATTTCCCGATCTATTTTTAGATCAATGTAGAGGAAATAAATCCTTGTATTTACCTGGAACGTCACGTGCAGGTCAATACAACGTAGTATTTTTCTAACATAGTTGGATCTCAGCCAATCAGAGAGATGGAAATTATTCAATCATATAATAACAAAAAATAATGATAAAGACAGAAAAGACAGAGATTTTATAAGTTTTTATTTCCATCAGGTCAATAAAAATTATCAGGTCAATACATTTTCCTAGGTTATGCTCGTTCCCCATAATTATACCAATATTTTTTAACATAATTATACCTAATATATCTGTCTTATACCCCAGTAATATAAGAATAACCAAAAAGTTAAGATAAACACAGAAAACAGAGAGATATTAATTTTTTTTCATCAGGTCAATATCAGGTCTTTAGTATATCAGGTCTTAAGTATCTTCCCAAAACCAGGGGTTGACAAATATATTTTTAAGGCACTTGTCCATGAGCAAGTACATTGTCAAAATTCACTTGCCCTACTTGAATTTTTGCTAGCCCGATAATACTGTATTTATAAATATTTCATAAAAAGAAGTAGAAAAATACTGAGTAGATCATGCAAGCCTCAATGCCCAGCTTTAAAATGATCTATGGCTTACGTATTGATTTTATTTTTGATAAGTCACTTGTCCACAGAAAAGTGGCTGATAAAATTTCACTTGCCCACCCCTAAAATTAACTAGCCCTGGGTTTCGGGCAATGGGATTTGTCATCCAATGCAAAACGGAAAGAATATTTTTCATCAAGCAATATAGCAACAAATAATACAGCATATACATATTGCAAAGGCTTGAGAGTTTATTCTACATTTCCTAGAGTGTTCTAATTTAATTTTAAATTCTTATTTTTAAAATATCAATCTCCCTTCTTTTTTCTTAGCTAAAGGTCAGATTTTTAAAACTGATATGCAGTTATGAAAATGGATAATACCCCCCCTTTTTTTAAATAAAAAAAAGTAAGAGTGTATAATACCTCGTAAATATAAAATTTCCGCGTCAAACAGATCTATATGTCGTTATATGCAAGCAGATTGTACTTTTTCTCACGTTTAAAGAATGGCCCTATTCGGTATAATAAAAATACACAAGGTAAGAAACAAAAGTTGTAAACAAACGGGGGTTCCCCACTTCGAGACAGATTTCCAAGGTAATAACTGTGTTACCTATCATAATTTTGCGAACACTTTGTCTGAGAGATGTTCTTTTACTAGTCTCTTAAACCTAAACCCCGCCATTGATGGTTAATATGCCGTAATCGGACGATTTATGAATCGGATACATAAAATTTTCTCCATTCGCAGCGTTGGAGGAGGTTTTGGAGCTGCTTTTCTGTTTCGCCTTATCTGATTGGTTAATTGTAATACAGTTTAAATATCTAACAGCTTATCTGATTGGTTAATTGTAATACAGTTTAAATATCTAACCGCGTGACGTTACATTCAAATTTGTACAAATTAAAGTCATTTTGTTAGGACAATCATCTTTTTTTCTTGCATCAAATGAATGAAAATTAAATTATAAGCAATGAAATTAATAGCTACCCATTTTATACGGTATAAACTGGGTTAAAACAGTTTACGCTTTTTTATAAACCGCTTCGCGGTTTATAAAGCGTAAACTGCCCCAACCCAGTTTATACCGTATAAAATGGGTAGCTATTAAATTCATTCCTTAAATAAACATCAGCTGCTCCAACTAAGCTAGCCTGGCTTGTAAACAGCATAGGTGTTGTATTATTTGAGGTGTAGTCTGTCAAATACTGATCAAGTGGAGCTTATACTAAAACGGTCTCTGAAGAGACTTGACCCCGAATGTCTATGTAAACTCTGAATAAAAAAAAATAATTAAACTTTGTAATTTTCAATCTTTGTCTTTTTATTGCCTGTTTTAGTAAATGCTACATGTTATCTTGTTTTGTTTGAAACAGTTGATGGTCAATATTGATAAAGTAGAAGTTAGAACAGAAAAACTTCCAGTATTACTTTATCAAGAGCAACAAAAAATGAGTTATCCCTCTATCAGATGTAAGCAAACAAAGGTTTTAAGCGAAATTCATCAGGAATTTTAAGTTTTGTTGTACCTGTGTTCTGATTTACATTTTTGATTGCCCCTCTGCATTATTTCAAATTGAAAAACGTATAAATTTGTTTGATTCTGTAGATGACCATTTCTAATTCTAATATTGGCATTTGTCTTAAAAATCTGGGTATGAATAAATCTGGTTCTTTAAAATAAGAGTGAAAATTCAAAATATGTGTATTTTACAATAGTCAGCTTTAAATTAGGCTTTAATAAGATATGTATATTTAATAAATATATTATCTATCTACAGAAACTGTAGCGTCATGGTTTTATGTATAATCTTTCACCATAGACCAAAATATAAAATCATAACGCTGTACAGTTTCTGCAGCTATCAGGGGTCCCGAGTCAACATGTCAATGTGTTTATACTCAGTACCCAGAACATTGAATGTTATGCAGCAATAAGTTGCAGCAAACGAGGTCATTATAATTACATGTATATAAACATATCAACCGTAGAGAAAATACGTCTTTACTTTTTCGTGTTGAGGGAACAAAATAAGCTGGAGTTGGTGTAAGTCACGTAAGTATTCCATTAAGATTTGCAAAAGAAAATAGAGTGAAGTGAGGCGACCATTGAATTGACCGATATGTCTTATATCTAGTGAGGGTCAATTGGTTTAAGGCCGAAAATACACGTCCAGTGTACAAATACGCACTGCCCTAGGAGCATATATCTAGTTCTATGGTATCTCCGGGCTTCGTTAAAATATTGGTTTTAATCCAGTGGTAAATTATTCGAACAATTGGTAAATATGTACAATCATGTAGATTAGAATTGAAATGAAAATCTTTAGCTCGTGAAGTAATTATTAGATAGATGCTTGCTTTTAAAAGTAGGTCATGAGCTGGAAAGTGAAAGTACATGTATTAAAGGTAACAAAATGATCTCTCATATAATATTCTGAAGAAAAGGCGTTTTCTTTCTTTGTTGACTTATTCTGAATAGATTTATGAATTAAAAGTCTATGATAACAGGATAAGGCTATTAATGAAAAAGTGGGTTAAAGAATACCATTTTCAATGAACTTGTAGGAGATACGCATGAATTCCATTATTCTCTATCGATAAGTTGATGGCTCCGACTCGAGGGGGAGTATTAAAACAAGCCATCAACTTCTCAATTAAGAAATGAATTTAATTTTTGAAGATTCATGAGGTTATGAACTACGACGCTTCACGCCGGTGCATATTTCAAGAAGCGCGTTGGCGCTTCTTGATAAATATGCCGGTGTGAAGCGTGGTAGTTCATATACCTCATTAATCTTCAAAAATTAAATTCATTTCTTATATTTACATTATTTTTCTTATGACTTGCCATAAATTTACGCCATTAAACTGTCATTTTTAAAGCAAAAGTGTGCACTACATTTTTTGACGTCAAGTGCAGTATTCTGACTTTACAATGGAGATATTCATGCTTATTCGTGGTATATATGTAATGTAGTTCATGAGAAAATGAACTGCATTTTATTTTGTAAAGAATCATAGGGGTAATTTATTGGAAATGTAAATATTAGAGAATAGAATTCCATTTTTGAAGTCAATGCTCAAAACTTGACTCAAAATGTGAACCTTACCAATTTTAAGCTAAGGAAATTAAACTAATCTTATCTTTCTTTTAAATTTTGTAGGGATATTAGTCCACAAGTCAGTCAGTTTTGACGATGAGTAATATAACAGATTACAATGAGGTTTGTAAGACGTACGACAAGGGAAGACGAGCAGCGGGCGCCTTTGTCCTTAAATCCCTAATGGAGAATTTTACTGGAAAGAGCATTCATGTAAGCTATATGTTTAAAGACTAGATTTGGATGTTTTGTAATGTTAATATAATTACCTTCAAAACGAACTTTTCGATAGAAAAGTTAAAGTCATCACGTTTACCACAGAGCTTTGTTGTTAGGTTACCATCAACGTCTTTTTTGAGTAAATTATCAAGTACGAAAAAGATGTGTCAGACTAGTGATATTTTTAATATCAAGCTCAAAAGGACATATCGTGTCGATATACGAATGGAATTAACTATTGTTAATTTAAAATACGTCTTCCGTATATCTTAAATGTCAAGTACTAGTTGAAGGCACGGTTAGTGTTTTCTTTTTCTCGTGTGTAAGATTTTGAACAAAATCTGCTTCATATGAATTCAAAAATAAGCCAATCTTCAAGCTTCTGCACTGGCTAAATAGTAGAAAATTTACTCAATTTTTAAGTCCAGCACATACGCAAACTCGCCCTCACATACTTTTACAGACAAACAGGTATGGTACGCAAGTACATGTACTCGCATATACGTGCACCCCTCTTTTAAATTTGGAAATGACCATAAACAGTCTTTGAAACGTTCCATTACCCTACGTGAACGCTGAGCAAGAGCAAGAAAAAAAGACCGTTGAGCAAACACAAATAAGGATTAATTTGAAGTCAGGAGTTATCTGCAGTATGTAATAAACCCTGAATGTATTCACATTTACAGGACATGGATATTCTGGACGCTGGCTGTGGGACAGGTAATTATGCGAGTTATTTCCTGGACCAAGAACCCCGCAGCTTGACTCTTGTTGACGCCAGTGAAGGGATGCTTAGCGTAGCCAGATGGAAATTACAATCCCAAAATCTGAAGTCCAAGCTTAGCTTCCAAACAGGAGTGCTTCCTATTATTCCTTTTGAAGATAATTCTTTTGACAGCGTTATGATAAATATGGTACTTAAAATAATTTTTTGCATCCTTGCATTTGTACCTCAAATTGATGCCTTATGTATTCAAAACACTAAACAATTGCTCAACTTTTGAAAGAAATTGAAGCTACTAGTACTGCGGTATTTCATATTATTCTTCCAGTTACCGTATTTGGAGACATGTTATCACTCTTTGTAATCTTTTCCAAGACTGTAGTCTTCTATCTCAGTAACACAAAAGTCATGAATATTAAACTTAATAATCCTCAAAACATCGATATATTCTCCATTAGTATAAAATACTCCTCTTCTATGATTTATTAGGTACTACATCATTTAGAGATAAATCCTGATGGGAAAACGTATCCAAACACAGCAAAAACGATGAAAGAAGTTTTTCGAGTTTTAAAACCAAGAGGCGTGTTGACTGTTACCACTGCAACTCCTGAGCAAGTAGAGGCCCACTGGTTTGGTCATTTGGTTCCAGGGCCATTGAAACAATACGCCAAGAAATTCCCATATCATAAGCAGATGAAGGACATATTGACCGAGGCGGGGCTAACACTGAAGGCGGCTCTCAACACGTTAACTACAGATTATCACCCCGGACACAGTAACTTGGAGGGACCGTTACAAGAAGATTGGAGGAAGGATTTGTCATTTTGGGACACGTGCTCTGAGACCGAAATTCAAGACATGATACAGAGAGTGCAGAAAATGAAGGAGGAAGGAACTCTGCGTGACTTTTATGACACTCACGAGAAAACTCACATATACGGGGCATTGCAGATCCTTGCCGCACAAAAATAAATGTTTGAGTTGAGCTACTTGTAATAATTTGTCGATGAGCATGCATTATAATATACTCTGAAAAAAAGTGAATTAATTGGCATATTGTATAATAAATACACGATTTATATTTAAATTGTATTTGATTTATTTCAGTTTTGAAAATCACAGAAATCCCAAATTACCAACTTAATTGGGGAACAACTAGATTTACTTTATTAGGAATAAACTTTGATGTTGACTTAGAAAAAGTGCCTGAAATAAATTACCAACCAAAGCTAGTGCAAATCAAATCTATTCTTTGACAATGGGGAAAAAGGTTTTTAACACCAATAGGAAAAATCACTGTTATAAAGAACTTGGCTTTACCAATATTAAATCATTTACTAACGTCAATCCCAAATCCATCTAATTTTTATTGTAAAGAATTAGAAAAACTTTTTTCTCATTCGTATGGAATAGTTCAACACACAGTGTTAAGAAAGATGTCATCGTTAAAAGCTATGAAAATGGAGGAATGAAAATGATAAATTTAAATGATTTCATTGCTTCTTTGAAATTATTTTGGATTAGACATCTGGTTTATACAAATAAAGGGTGGGAAAATTTCATAAAAAATATGAATATTTATAAATTTACATCCTGTGGAATTGAATACATCACTCAACTTATAAAAAACTTTAAAAATAAATTCTGGATTGATGTGTTCAAGTCCTGGATTGATTTGTATAAAATCTGTAGTAATTCTGATGTAAATGTGGACTGTCCATTGTTTTATAACCCTAATATCCATATTGGAAAGAAAACCTTTTATAGTAAAAAACTTTTTGACAAGAATATTAGATATATTAATGATATCATTGGAGTAGATGGTATTTTTTACAGTTATGAATGCTTTTGCAATGCTTATCAAGATGTAAATATTAATTTTTTAGAATATTCTAGTTTAATACATGCAGCTAAAGCTTGGATAAAGAGGAGCAATCTCGAGAAAAATTTACAAAAATCAGAAAATCCTCTTATTACGTCTAGTTTTTATCTGGTATCAAACTGTAAAAAATCAAAAAATTTCTATGAAATTCTAATTCAAAACTCTTCTATAACAGCTGGTTTTAAGAAGTGGATTGATTTATTTGAATTAGATAGCAAGGAATCCAAAATAATTCATAAATTACCATTTAAAATTACAAAAAACTGTAAACTGCAGTGGTTTCAGTACGGAATTCTGAATGAAATATTGGCAACTAATTCTTTTTTATTCAAAATCAGAAAGGTAGATTCTAAGCAGTGTAATTTTTGTCAAAGAGAAGTAGAGACAATTGAGCATATCCTGTGGGAATGTGACCTTGTACAATTACTCCTTGAAAATTTTGAATATCATCTCCAGCAGAAAAATCTCCAGTTGCCCATAACAAAAAAAAATATTTATTTTAGGCATTGAAGGAAAAAATAATGAAATTGCGAATATTATAATTTTATTGCTAAAATATTATATTTATACTTCTAGATGTACAAAAAAAACCTTTAAATGTGCAATCAGCGATATCACACTTGAATCAATTTTACCAAACACAAAAATATATATCATATAAAAATGGCGAAAAAGAAAAATTTGACACTCAATGGAACAGGTGGAACCAACTTTTTCTATAACTCTCTATCTATTCTCTCTCTCCACCTATCGCTCTCTCTCTTTATATGTAAAAATACACAATTCTGTAACAAAGATTTTTAATGTTTCTGTATGAAATGAATTGTGTTAGAAAATAAAATTTAAAAAAAAGAGAAAATCACAGAAACTTTTTTTTTTTTTTTAGATAATATGGACATACTGATCGAATGCGCACATTCACAGGACATTCTAAGGTTCATGTCTTGGATGACAACGATTTTCACAAACATCGGTAAAATGTGAAAGGGAATTGGGGTATTATTGTTGTGTCATATATTAAGAGTAGCAAGCAATGTGTAAGCGTGGGGGATGTGAACTTGTTTTTAAAATCAATGATTAAAAGTTCAGTTTGATGAATGCCGGGACAACAGTATAAAGCAAATATCCTATCAAAATGGGAATAACATAATTAATTCTTTTATTACAAATAATTCTGTATATCATATTCTCTTCATCTTCAAAGCAATTTTTTATATTTATTTAATCTACTTAGATTAAACTACCAGTAATTTTAAAAAATACTGGATTTCATTTCTGGAAGCGTAACTGTCGAGGGCCAGAATGAAGTGCTTACCGGGGAAGTTTTACGTGGTTTCAGATGATGACAGAAGAATTCAGCAATCTGATATTGCTGGCACTGCAGGCAGGAATTCACTTACTTATTATGAATTAAAAATGGGACTGTGCAGTGCTAGATCTTTAATATGTAACACCACACCTAGAAAACGTCAAGAAAACTCTCTGTTTAGTTGTATATCGGAAGGAAGCAGGTATACACAAACATGTAAATGCTCAAACAATTCTATGTATTTGGATGATAGCATCACTTTTGTCAGGAAGTCGATTAATGAAAGGGGTACTTGAGGTAGGCTTGTATGACTTTTTCATATAATCTGAAAATAAATATGATAGACAATCTCAGCATATGATAAACGCAGACAGAAATATCCATAAGGCATATAGTAAATAAAGAACACTTAAATCAAAAGTGGGAAATAATGATTGCTTTTTAAAAAATGTTCTAGAATGATAGAAGTCTATAACAATTTAGAAAAGGTTGCAGAAAGCGGCGAATAGTGTATGGTATGAAGTATTTCTCATTTAATATGTATTTATTGATTTCGAAAATTATATGAAAAATTCCAGAATATGGACCATGAAGACAAAAAGGCGTTTGAAGCCAACGCCCGAGTTTTCTCTGGAGGTCTAAATAAACAACAAATCATCGATTACTACAATAATTGGGAAGATTACGAAATGGTAACTATACATTAAGAAATGTCTTAGAAATAAATTTTATTGTTCCACAGTGAAAAGGAAAAAAAGATTTCCCACTGGTACATTTAAGTTTTTTTTTTGAAATAGTTTCTTAAGTCACTTTCTAAATTCATGTAAGAAAAAAAAATGCGTGCTCCTTAAAACAGATTATATCAAGGTTCTCCATCGTTTTAGCACCTGCAGCCTGGTAGGTACAATGGACCACTGTATGCTGCTGAAGCCGCTGACCGAAGCTTTCTAAGCAGCAAAGATACGATTCAAATCATAGACGTGGCAGCAGGCACGGGCTTGGTAGCTGAAGAGGTAACATTAGGTCTTCTAATAACGGGGCGCAATTAGTGCCCATGGAAAATCCAACAAATTGTTGGATAGATAAATTGTTAATCAGAAATCAAGCATCTCTTTTAAATATAAATTTTGGAGTACTCGAGTGTACAATCAAAATGTTTTTTAATTCCAGATTGCAATGGCCAAGATATATATAAATTGACGACTTTCATTTTTTTTGTTAAAAAGGCAGCTGTTTCTGGTATCAAAACTCCGAGAAGTGTTGAAAAAAATGATGCTGTAGAGTTTGGTTTAAAAATCAGAGTGTCAAGTTTTAAGGTCTAATTTGAAACCCTTTACCCGTGTATGGTAATATCTCTATATGAGTGAAAAATTGTCGAATGGGACGTAAAACACATGCAAACAATAAATCAAATGTTAAACTTTATTCTTCCAGTGAGTTTAGTCCCGATTAAATAATCTTTCGTTAATGTGGGCATTCTTCTCAATTAAAAAAAGCTGAACTTGTTTGTCCATTAGAAAATTTTGTTTCGATGGGACAAGATTTGAGGGACTGTACAATATGATTTATTAATTCTTCCACACCTAGTTAACTATAGTAAAACAAATAATACGTTTAAGTATTTGGTCAGATGGTATCTCTAAATTGAAAACTTCTCTTTTTTCTCCAAATTTACAGTTGGTCAAGAAAGGTTTCAAACAAATACATGCTTTGGATCCAAGTGAAAACATGCTTCAAAAGGCACGGATGAAAAACATCTACCAGAAGTTTTTCTGTGAATTTCTTGATGAAGAGCCATCTCCAAACATCAGTAACGGTAAAGTACATAAACACAAACATTTCTTCAAACTGTCTAAATGGTATATTTAAATCTTGAATAAATGGGATGGACAAAAATGTTTATCTTTGTGACTGTATATAACTTTAAGGTACATATTCATGTGTCGTTTGTTCGGGAGGGTTTGGAAGTGGCCATATACCTTCAGGTGCACTACTAGAACTGATCCGAATCACAAAACCAGGTACACTATACAAATACAAACAATAATTCCAAAACATTCAGAAACTTTATACACTGTTATATTTTTAAAAGTAAAAGTTTAATACCAGTTTGCAAAACAATCATAAATAATTGGAAGGTTACTAATTCAAACCACATAATAAAATATATTGGTAGGTTAAGTTAAATGTAATATTCGATTTAGTATTCATATTGAATTTACAGGTGGAATGATAATTATCGTGATGAGGGAAGAATACTTAGATATAGAAGAGTACCGCGACAGCCTGGAACCTCTGATGGAGAAATATCAAAAGGACGGACTCTGGGTGTGTGTAGAGAGATCCATTGTCCATAAGTATTTCTGTGACAAAACAGGAGTCATTTCCCGCTTCCAAGTCAAACACAATTCTAAGTGAAGACCAGCACCAGGAATCGGCCTTTTACAGATACTCTGAAATTATTATTTCAAAAATACTAAAGAAATAAATTTAAAGCATGCCTTTTCTTGTCTGCGTCCTTTTATGAATATTTAACAAATTATGTCTCATATGTTTTTCTCTTTTTTTCTTTTGTGAAAATATAAGTAAACAAATATATTTATTAAACCAACCAAAAGATGGAATATTTGTTTTGTAGAACAGACTCGTACTAATATTACAAACTCTGGTTTAAGCCAAAAAAAGAAGAAAAAAGAACGTAATTTCATTTTATAAACTTTATTTCCAAAAATATTATGTCTGATAAATATTTCAATATCATTTTTTTTAATTGAAATTTCTGTTCCAACCTTATTGTAAATATTTTGTTAGTGATAAATGATTCTCATATCATTTTATTTCATGCCCCTCCAAATTCGGCGGTAAAAATTTTAAAAATCTATCCGTCGTCGTCCACGAAAAATATACCATAGGCTAAAACATTTAATCGGTTGTCTCTAAGGTAATTATGCCTTACAAGTATAATTCCTGTGACGAGACCATTTTTACTTTTTGATTTTGATCGTAGGGTCTATAGATATTTTATCTGAAACACTTGCCATAACTTATGAAAGATGATATTTAGTTTTTATTTACTTGTCTAATCCTTGAGATCTTTGTTTGGGTACCAACATTTTTTAACTTTATGAATGTTTAGTAAAAGGTTTTCGTAATTCAGTTATTTATTAAACTCGAAAGAATTATTTAAAATGACTTTATTCAAAAGTCTGTTTCTTTGTAACGTATCATTTTTTCTTCACTTTAAACAACCATTCCTCTCGAAAATAAAAAAAGGTATTAGATATCATAGACGACTGCTTCTTCAGTAATACTGAAACTTGGACATTTTCATTTCTTGTTACAAGACAACTACAGAAATGAGGAAAGTTCACAATGATCATTTTTAGACATTTAAAAGGATGCTAGAGTTTCTTATTACTTTGTACCAACATCGTTAATCGGCATTGGACGTTAGGGATAATTATATGCAATATGCCATAACTGTATTTTTTTCATATTGTTCCAATATCCAGTATCGAGTTAGAGACGTTCAGTTAGAGACACGTGGCAACATGTTTCGTTGGATATGTATTTCAAGTTTATTATTTGTGAATTTTGCCTCTGATGTATACGATGCAGGTAATTACAGCTTAAGTGAGTTTTAGAATTTTATGTTGGTTTTAAAAATTAAAGTAAAATATTTGCATATCTATTGCTCTCTCACACTATGAACATGTAGTCTTCAATTGCGTTTATTTAAGGAATGAATTTAATAGCTACCCATTTTATACGGTATAAACTGGGTTGGGGCAGTTTACGCTTTATAAACCGCCAAGCGGTTTATAAAAAAGCGTAAACTGTTCCAACCCAGTTTATACCGTATAAAATGGGTAGCTATTAAATTCATTGCTTATAATTTAATTTTCATTCATTTGATGTAAGAAAAAAAGATGATTGTTCTAACAAAATGACTTCAATTTGTACAAAATTTGAATGTAACGTCAGGCGGATTGATACGTTTTTGACGGAAGTCATTGTGACGTAGGCACATACGATATGAAGTAAAATTTTTATCCAATCAAATACAGCGTTACAACCAGAATTAAATATATCTTCCAATGACATTACATAATAGAGCTATCTGCTTTAGATCTATGATTATATGATTTTCACACAACATATTCATGTATATCGTATTTCAAATTGAAAATTGCAAATTTATGGGAAATGTCATTACTTCCAGAGTATGGAAGGGAATTACCGCCAAAAGTTTATGTATCTTGCTTTTATTCTTATTCTGCCTACTTCTTTATGCTTTGTTATTATTGTAATTATATGTCACTTTATTGTTTTCATATTCGTCTTTATTACATTTCACTTTGACTTTTATCATTCTTGATTTTGTCTTTACTTCTATGTTGCTTTATTCTTGTAAATTCATTCTACTTTCTTTTCATCTTAAACAGTTTCTTTAATAAATTATTAGCATTATCTCTCTACTACGAATGTTAATTCAATCACGCTAACAATGAAGCATATTCAATGAAGACGAATGGAAGTTGTCAAACCGTCAAAATTTAGTGCGGCATTATAACGCTAGGTGGCGTGGTGTTCGCTACGAGTGTTGGTAAAACTAGGTAAGCAAACCCGGGTCGGGTTATTTGAGATTCTCTAATACGCCTTAATTAATACTTTATCAATCGAACTTCAGAAGGCCGGATCCGATCTCCCGATCCAATGATGGAAACTCCATATTTATTTTCTCTGGGCACACAGGAATAACGGCTTCTTTTTTTCAGACACAACTTTATACTATAAGAACTATGTTCATTTAAAGTCCGACCCACTTTTTGTAAGAGTAAGGGTCAAATAAGTAAATGTACGTATAGTAGGAAGAAAATTTAAATTCGATTCTAAAGAAGAAATTGAATCTAACTCAAAACCCACCCCGCCCCCGAAATAGGATTTCATTGGCGCCGGAAGCTAATTGAAAGTTGGGGGGGGGGGGGGGAGTATATAAGAATTTTTTTAGACCTTCAAAAAAAAAACCCTGTCACACACACACACACACACCCTCACACACACACACACACACACACACAAAAAATCCATTTTCCAAAAACACAAAAATCCTATTTCGTGAGGAGGGGTGGGGTGGGGGTGGGTTGAAGGTTCGAACTCCAGTGCCAAAGTTTTTTTTCCCAAATACCACTACTTTCCCCATTTATACCTTTACTGCATCGTGTCCATGGAAAGTGGGGGGGGGGGGGCTAAAGCTACGCAGGAATGTTCATTGTCTATGTACTAAGTCTATCTTTGGAAAGAAGTGGGGGCTAACCCAACCCCCCCCCCTTCCCCGGTTCCGACGCCTATGTATTTTCAAGTTTGGACAATTTCCTGGGGTTTATTCCGCGCTTGTCAAGTTGTTTTCAGCCGGGTAGCTTGAATATTTATTCTCTTGTTGCCCCCCTCCCCACTTTCAAAAACGATGCTACGTCACTGTTCTCTAGCGTGAAAAATATAACTCTACTAAGTTATTTTTTGGATATTTGAATTACAGTTTAATTGTTATAAAAATGTTAAGGATTTTGAAACTAGTTAACCCTGATAAATTGGGTTGTTTTTCAGAACCTTCCACTGAACTGAACTTTATTTCACGACAGATAGTAAGTGCTGATGCGCGTGATTCTAGGGACAGGACTTTGCAAAGGAGTGAGGAGCGTTATGGGTAGGCAGGCGCGGATCCAGAATTTTTTCCAGTGGGGGGCAACCCAGTCAAGAAAAATCCAATCCCAGAAATTTCTTGACAAGCATAAAAAGAAGAAAATAACATAAACTTGCTCAAACGTCAAAATTCTATTTCATGGGGGGGGGGGGGGTAACTTTTTTTCCTTGTTTTAGTAACCTTGTTAATTCGAAGGGGTCCGACCCCCCCCCCCCCATCTAGATCCGCGCATGGAAGGCGAAGTCGGAACCAGACTACATGCACCCAGGCATACTAGAAACACCTCGGTCTTTTTTCCTGCGTTAATATTTTATACTAAAATAGCACTTTTCAATGAAGAAAGAAATATCTTTAGTCGGCACCGTGTTTGTCATCAACCGGGAGAGCTAAAAAAAAAATCTTTAAACTTGAAAATTCTATTTGGTGGTGATGAAAGGGGGGGGGGGGGTCGTCAACTTTTTTCAGTAATAAATTTTACTGATATGCCACTAAGTAGATGACTTTTAATATATAAATTGACTATTAGTACTGCAACAAAAAGTTTAAGGGATGGGGGCAACAAGCCTTTTGCTGAACTTTTCCAGAAGTAAAAAGTTACGTTTAGGTAAATGTTACGTGGCCACCCTCCCCTCTACCGATGAAACTTACCCCACCCGGAAGTCAGTATATATATTGAGACTTTGGTGGTGTGATTGTACATTGTATAATTTCCTGTTCGAGAATTTTTCACTCAAAAGGAGAAGCCACCTCTTGCCGGTGGAGAGCTGCAAATTTGTCCTACGAGGCACTTATAGCCATTGAGCAGTGAGGGATCTTTTTCGTGCCAGCACCTACTGCGACACGGGACCTCGGATAATACGGGTCAGGTCTTGACCCGAAGGACCGAACTCCACATCCTATGGTGGGATTCGAACCCACGACGTATTGGTCGACTCCTTACTATACTGTACTTCGTGACATTATAAAGAACAGACGCCGTAACCACAGTGCCACGCTGGCGACTGCATCCAAGGGGGGGGGGGGAGAGAGAGAGAGAGAGAGAGAGAGAGAGAGAGAGTCATTATCCATATGTACTCGTGAAGATTATCTATGTTTAACTAAATGGTTAAAATGATTTAATTCTATAAAACACTATTAAAATGATATTATTTAAATATTTATTCGTACAGAACCAGGGACCTATATACTAGTATATAGGTCTCTGATAGAACGGATAACATTTCTTTTTAAAAACTGAAAACGTTAGTATATATAAACATTGTTTTACGGTTTAAAAATCTATTCGGGGTAGGGGTTGCTAGGAAGGGGCGAATTGCTATATATAGCGAGATTTCCCGCGGAAGACTATATTGAAACTTCCCCGGGGGGAGTCCCAATGTACATGTATAGTCTTCCGGCATCAGTCTTTTAAAAATTTGAAGTTTGATTAATAAAGTATTAAGACAGAAAATCGAAAAAACACGAATAATCCCGGCCCGGGTTTGCTTACCTAATTTTACCAACACTCTTAGCGAACACCCCTGCCACCTAGCGTTATAATGCGGCACTAAATTCGGACAACTTGTATTCGTCTTCATTGAATATGCTTCATTGTTTGCGTGATTGAGTTAACGTTCGTAATAGTTATAATCATTTAAGAAACTGTATCAATTTAAAAGAAAGTAAAATGAATTTACAAGAATAAAGTAACATAGAAGTAAGGGCAAAATGAAGAAGGATAAAAGTCAAAGTGAAATGTAATGAAGACGAATATGAAAACAATAAAGTGACATATAATTACAATAATATAAACAAAGCA